GAGGGGAGGATGGGCTGGGGGGTTGGGGAATGGGGATGGTGAACCTTTGGGGGGGCTAGGGACAGAGTGGGGGAGGGGTGGAGTGCAGGGGGAGGATGGGGCTGGGGGATCTGGGGGGGAGGGGCAGGTGCATAGAGGGGGACAGGGACTGAAGGGTGGGGGGATGGGCTGGGGGGGTTGGGGAATGGGCATGGTGAACCTTTGGGGTCGGGGGCTACGGACAGAGCGGAGGGGCTGGGGGGACAGGGACAGACCAGGGTGGGAAGACTGGAATGGGGCACCTTGGGGAGGGGCTGGAGTGGAGCTGGAAATGGGAAGACAGTGGGGATGGGTCCAGGGGACCTTAGAGAGAGTTTCTTCGCTGGGTGTCCTTGGGGCCAGCCAAGGTAGCATCAACATTAGGGTCTGTTCACCAGGCCTGCTCAGCATCCGGGGGGTATGTGTAAAAGAGACCAGGAGTTTGGCTGGGTTCATGCTTGTCCCGGGTGAGCTCCGTGTGACCTAACGTTCTTGTTCTTATTCTACAGAGCCGCCCGGGGACCCAGACTGGTGAACTTCTCTGCTCTCAATCTCCAAGGTGAGCAAAAGCGCTCGGACTGTGCCAACAGGGAAAAGGAAATTCTGGGATTTAAAACAAAAATGGTTTGTGTTAATAATGTCTGGTGGGTGTTAATAATGGAGAGGGGAATTGTGCTTTTCAATAGCTGGCACGGGCAGTGCTTTACTTTGGCAGGGGATAAGGCAAAATTCACCCCTGAGATCAGTGGGGCTCTAATCATGCCTTGGCCTCGAGCAGGCCCGCTGCATGGGGTGAATTTTGCCCTGAATGGCAATGAAGTTTCTAGAGAATTTCTACTTAATGCCCCCACCATTCCTTCTGAGGGGCACAGCTTGTACCATCTTCCTGTCTTGTCACAGGACTGGCTTGTTACTCTGCTCCTCCTTTGTTGAGGGGCAGTGAGGCCTCCTGAAGTTAAAAGCTGTAATAGAAAAATAATAACGCACAACTCATTTGACCTTTTTGATATTCTGTAATTTGATGAGTGGCTGCCTGGTCCCATTCTCCCCGTCAGAGGCCCAGTGCAACAAGAAACCGATCATAACATTAACTGCTTGAAAGGTTAAGGCAGTCGCTGGCTTTCTTCTGCCTCTCACAGGCTTTGCTGAACATTGCCAGTGCCCTGATGCTAAGGATGAATAGGGCTTGGAATAAGAGAAAACTTCCACTCTTATCAGAGTGATAGCAAAGAGACTCATTTGTATAGTGCTCGCATATATGTGCAGGAGGATTCCATTTCTGGGCTCAAACCTGTGTGTGTGTATGTATGTGTATAGTATAAATAATCACACACACATGCATATTGTATATTTCATCTTGTGGCGTGAAAACTTTGTTGATTCCCATTCCCAGTATGAGAGAGAGAATGTGATTGGTGGTCTGAAGTTTGCAGAACGTTCAGCTGAACACATAAGCGTCGAGGCTCTTTCAGTTCCTAATTCTGTGGGTTTCCCTCTTTTGTTTGCCTGCTCGCATCAGTGGGGGACAAGTAGAGTCAGATTTTAACGTGCTCATCACTCACAAGCTGAACCAGATTTTCAACTCCTACTTAGGCACATAAATAAGAGCCAGATTTTCAAACTGTATCCAGCAGCTCCCATGGTGACATTGTGGGCAGATTTTCAAAACAGCTCAGCCCTCAACGTGCTGAAATCTTTTGAAAATATCATGACTTATGTGGAAGCTGAGATCTCATGAAAATCTGTCCCTTTATGCTGCACCTTCACCTACTAAAATGGTGGGCCAGAAGAGGCAAAGGAGACGGATGAGCTAGTCAGAGCCAGCTCTCAACTGTGCTAATGAGTATGAGCCATCTGCATGGGTTTGTTTGTTTTGTTTTTGTTTTTGTTTTTAAGCTGGGTTACCGGAAACTGCTTTGGTATAAACATGGTTTCCTAAACAGTGTTGCTGGGGCCAAACCATTTTTTAAACACATAGTTTGGACTCATCTGTGGTGGCCCACTAGACTGCACTAAAGGCTTGTGTTTACTGCGAAGTTAACTCAACTGTTGCCCCTGATTTGTGTCCTATCCACACAAGCACTGGGGGAAAGATGTTGCATTTTTTGATCAGCTCTAGTGGCCTGAGCTACAACTTAGGGCTCCCAGTCCACTACTTAAGCCACTTGACAATACTGCCACTCTCTAGTCACATAACCTGGCTGTGCTTAATTTTACCCACCTGCAAAATGATTGCTATGACACATGCCTGTTTCACAAGGGGTGAGGAGGGTGGCCGGGCTTCACTGAATGTTGGAAAAGTGTTTTATGAGAACGGGGTGGAAATTGCTGTGGCAAGGAAAATTATTAATACCCATGTTTCTAAACCCAAATCCGGGGTGGGGTGGGGAGGAGAGAGGAGTGTTGTCTAGTGGATAGAGCAAAAATTAGAAGATGGAAGAGCCCATACCACAGACTGCCTACATGGCCTTGGGCAAGTAACTTAAATCTGTGCCTCACTCTCCCTGCCCCCAGTCTGCAAAATGGGGGTGATAATACCATCTTCCGGGGGCTGAGATCTTTTCACGGAAGGTGCTGTGGCGGTGTTCTGTTTGTACAATTGCCAAGCCCTTCTGAGTCAACAGCCTGAGTGTCAGGGGATGGGATTTCTAATAAGCAAGATCCTAAACCCCCCAGCATAGAAATTCTGCCAGTCTGAGCTCCAGGACTGCTAGAATTATGCATTTTTCATTGGTTCATCAGGGAGAAGTAGCTGTGCTTCTCTTTAATTGATGAATACAGCTGAGAGTTTGTCAAGCCTAAGAGTGAATCACCATTTAAAGCACAGAGTTATTCCCAAGTGTTTGCACCAGGCTTCAGCTGTTGGGAGCAGAGGGAGGTTTTCCGGGTGAGGTGAAGGCTTAGTAGGCAGTTGCCAATGTATTCACTATGCATGAAAATCAGTTAAGGAGAGACAGTTAAAGAAGATGACAGTCCATGCAGTCAGCTTTAAAAAGCTGCTGGAGAAGGATTGGCAGAGTCATACAATGTCACATCGAGAGAGAGCCAACTATCGGGAATGCTGTCAGCTGCCCCTTCAGAAATTCAGTGATACCCAGAAGAGAGGAGGGGATCCAGCCTGCAGTCTGAAAGCCAGGCTTCCCAGTATGTTAATCCAAAAGAGGCAAGAGCCATTTTTTGCGTGTTCAAAACTTTTCCAACAATAGGCACCATGATATGTCCTGAGCAGGGGCTGTACTTTGCCCTACACACTGGCTGGTGCACCTCACGCCTGACCATGAGCAGCTCCTGCTATCCCAGTCCTGAGCCGCTATCCCAGCTCTTGCAATGCGTCTCAGTCCTGACCTGCTATATCCACTGCAGTTCCAGTGCCCTGCACACAGTCTGCCAATGTACCACCATCCTGACCTGCAGCATCCCCCATTCTCCTGTACCATACAGTCCTCAGCTCTTCCAGGTAGAGGCTTTAACTTTTAAGGGCGAGAGTGTAGGTCTGATGGTTTCTCCTGGGCCCTGGTACTTGATCGTGACCAGATGCTGTGGGTTATAAAAGACCTTGGGTCTCCAGTTCTGGGCCTGTGGTGCTCTTCTATACCTGTGCTGTGGTCCAGGCTTGCTTTGGAGGTTACTACTATGTTGTGGTGTGTGTGACTGGAGTGTGATTTTCAAGCAGAATACTTACCTCCCAACCTGTGTCTACACTAGATTTTTCTCCCATCGTTCCTGCCAGAGGTGGAGCTGCATTGGTGTCAGAAACAGTAGGAACCTTGACAAAATAACTAGTGTGATCATAGCCCCATTAAACTATCTGCCTCAGGTATTTATAGAGCACTCTGTGATGAGAGGATCTGGAGCAATGCTGGCATGAAAGGGCCTGTGCTGAGCTTGCCCAGGAACAGAGAACCTCTGAGTCCCAGTAAAGATAAGAGACGCAGCATAGTAACAAGTGGAAAGGTGGTGAGAATTGCAGCCTGCTAGTTACGAAGCAGAAGCCCTTGTTGTGCAAGGTTTGCAATGAGCACATGGCATGAGTGTTAAATCCCCTACTGCTGATGGGCAGGGGCCTCTGTATGTGTGATCCAAGGTGAAGGATAAGCTCCAAGTCTCTTGCACAGGCGACTTTGGAAGGTGAAACTAGAGTATCTGTTCTTCTCAGTTTAATATCTGATACGTCCTCTATCTGAGGACTATATATTAGAATGACTTGTGACCTTCAGGTGTAGCTGGAAAGGGTGTCTCAGAGGGAAGAGACAAATCTACTCTCTGGCAAGCGTGAGACAGAGCGAGGAAGGCAGCAATGCAGATTCCTCCCAACTTGTGTCCATAAAAAGGAGGGAGAGAGGTACACTGGGGTGAGGTGGGGACAGAGAGCGCTGCGCCTGTGGCAGCGTTCAGGACTTGGGGAAAGGGTCCTCTGCAAGCCTTTCTATCAGGAATACCGCTGGTGCAGGCCTGGGAACCTAGACTGCCGGTGTGGAAACAGGGTGAGATGCACTCTGCACTGTGGAGCCCAATAACCTTTAAAGGAGGAAGTGGAAATATTGGTATTTAATAACTCTCTTCTCCTGTCCAAAGGGTGGGGGAGGAAGATGAAGGGTGGCTACTTATAAAGTACTGTTCTTTTGAGCTTTAAAAGGCAAATCGTGGGGTGATCAAGAGCCACCCATAATTCTGCCCCCCCGGGAGTCCTGTTGGGAGCACAGCATGCCCAGCTGAAAGGACTCTGCCTGGATGCTTTCGATGGTGTTTGAAAGGGATGGTGTCAGTGCACATCCGGGTATCCTGGAGGCACTCTGCGTGATGTGGTGAAGCCCTGGTGTGTGTGAGGGGCACTGTGGAAGCCTGTGCTGAGCTCCTCTGAATTATGGATGAGCGTTCTGCTTCCAGCACAGACATGTACAGCACAAACTGTGCAGCTCCTAGGCACCTTTGTTGGTTACGATACTAAAATGTCTCTTTGAGAAACCACTGGCTGCTCTGTAGCCCGGCCTCGTATTCTTAATGTGTCTGAAGACTGCAGATGTTGCTCATGTCGGTGATTAGACAGCATGGAAAGAGGTGGCCAGTAATAGCTGTTTCAGCTGGCAAGTTCTGGGTCTGGAAAAGCTTCCAACCATTATCACTTCCAGTCTGAGCCCCCCCTCTCTTCTCTCCCATCTAAATTGGGGTATATCTAGGGTTACCATACGTCCGGATTTCCCCGGACATGTCCTCCTTTTGTGTGCTAAAAATAGCGTCCG